TGGAAAACTTTTTGTCGAAGAATCTTCCAAGAACAAAACTAGCCCCTGGGGGTGGTGGAAAGTTGTGTAGAAAATTCCTAAGTGGGAGAGTATACTCGCGCAAAAAAACAAAATAACAAAAAACGATGTAGTGCATTTTGATTCGATTTCACTGCATGGTTTTTGTTATGGGAGAAATTATCATCATTTCGAATAAAAAATARTTGAAGATTTTTTYCCCGATCTTATTTTTACCTTTCAGATTCATTCAAATTGATCTCCCTGTGACTTCCGTATCGGGAGCTCCGCTTTTAGGCAGTGCCTAAATATATATATTAGAAAGCTTTACAGACATAACCCAACCACGGCGTGGTAGAAGCAACAATAGCGACCTTTAGATCTGACGACGAGTACGAGATCAAGTATTATAAAATTGGTCCTGTACACGTGGTTAACACTAAATCGTAGTCAATTTCCGATTTTTTACAATTTAAAGTTTCAATCTACATACACGACCACGAATACGAAATGACAGTGCCAATCTTGAAAAGTTAGAAACTCATACTCACACTCATATTCGTTTTCTTACTCGTCATCGGATCTAAAGGTCTCTAATGTAAACCCCCCCTTTTTATCACCCTGTCAAAAACTCCCCTCGCAACGTCTCAAAATAACGTAAYCACCCCTATGATTTTGAATGACCCCCATGCTCTAATAAATGAAAGCCCCCTTAGCAAGTACTGAGACATAATCGAGAAGGATGGAGCCTGGACTGATTGTTTTTGGGGGTCCTGCAGTGCAAGCCGCTTTGTGGTTTAGTTCAGACAGGCAATAACATGGATCTGTTGAACGATAAGTATCGTTTGTCCTGTGTTCCTCAATCACTTTTAGTGTGCCCTTTGTAGTAAAAAAGAAACAAGAAAAGTTTAAAAAATACAGCATGGTCCTAAGTGCTTGTTCATGATAAAACAATGCTAACTTAGCCTGTGTTGCCGGCGGTCTTGTTTTGTTTTTTTTGTTGTTTTTTTTGGAAGGGGGGTGGGGGGATTTAGATTTAGAAAATTAGAATCAAAAAACTTTTTCAATAATTTTTTAAGCAGGCACCTTACAGCCATTCTCAATCACACGCACCCTCTAGCGATTTTTTCTGTCTCGACGAAGAAGGTTTTGGTGGACGTCAATCACAAGGTGTTTCCATAACATTGTCGGAAAATACAAAGCTATAAGGGCACGTGCCTATAGAATGTCATGGCAACGCCTTGATTGACGTCCACCAAAAGCTTCTTCGTCGCAACAGAAACAATCGCTAGAGCTGCGTGTGTGATTGAGAATGGCTGTAACAATATGAGCATAATCCCATAACTATAAAGTAACATAATTTAATAGTTCTTATTTTTGCTTACTCTACTCTCATTTGGATCACGGATATTTAGAAGATCACGTTTTCTTGGTGCATTTTGACAATGGCTATTGTAGTTTTCTCCTCCACCATAGGAAACCATTAACCAATCAGCTGCAATTCAAACAAATTGACAGTCATTTTTAAAATCATTTTACTGCAGGTTTCTATACCCTGCAAACTTGATTGGTAGTTGCAAGTTGAACGCTGAAGTTAGATTTTTTGCTGCAATCAACCAAAGATAATCAGGCAGTACCTTTCATATTCTTGACCGGTGGGAGTGAAGACACAAATTCACAAAATGACATTGAAATGTCAGAGTTTACAGAATATCAAAAACCGTGGCAGTAAACACAGGGTTCGCAATGAGAAATAAAATGTGAAATTCAAGGATTGAAAAAACAATATTGCAAGGAGTATTATCTTCCATTTTTGAGTTACTTTGTACTAGAGAACTTTTTATAATGAATCAAAGGCAACCTGTGTTGAACTTGTGGATATACAACCCAGGTGATCTGAGGAAAAATGATCAGCCAATCAAATC